TTCTCTCACTAAGAATTGAACGATACAAGAGGATAAGATCAATCTCACTCATAACCCACCTGATAAGGACTTGATCAGTTATAACAAATCATCACAAGCCTTACCGTTACAAGTCTCACCACCTAAACTACCCGACTGCAACAGGAAGTATCTCAGCTTGATCTTTAGCTGATACAACATGAAACGACAACGTTTCGATTCATGCTCTTGGCCCACTTCTCTTTTGTTTTCAGGCCCATGTCGTAAGCCCATCTTATTTCAATACATAGACATATTTTACAACAAACACCCCAAACTTTGTAGCTACTATCCAAAAGAAAGAGAAAACACACCAAATTCATAAATTAAAAACAAGACCAAAAGAAATTAAACTCTACACATATCAAGAAATGTTCATCAAACCCATAATATGACTTGATAATGAAACTCAACTAGACGTCTTCATGGTTAACTCTCCGGCAAATCCTCCTGATCTCACCATTATTTCCCGTCAACGGCGAGATATTCCCCATCTTCACAATCGACTTAGCGAACTGTTCAAAGAACGCTTCTTCATTCTAGGCGTAAAGCTTGACCAGTTCCATGGAGTCTCTGCTTTTCGTGAACAAAATCTCATCAGAGCTCAAGAGTCCTTTATAAGTCACCAAGTTCTTGAAGTAGTAGTTGCCAAACTTAGTCGGCCTCGCATAGTCGAGGGCAAAGAGGTTCTGGTCGTCACCGGAAATCAGACATCCCTTTTGCAACATAGAGGCGTAGTTTTTATTCAAAGACCGGTCGAGATCGCTGTTTCCGGAATGGTTGTACAATCTTTGTTTGAATCTCGTGCACCTCGAGTTTCCTATCGTGTGGCCTCCTATACATTCGAAGCATGGTTTTTAATTTTAGAAACTCTAATTCAATTATATCATATGTGTAGTGTAGACATTATTTTAAAAATGATTCATTCTCTTAATTATATTCTTACCATAAATTTAACAACTCTATGCAATTCAGCATAATTTAGCAAAATTGTTATATAACTTATAAAAGATCCATCTTAATTGGTTGGGTATATTAACTAGTATATACCTAAGAGAGCAACAAGATCGGTGAGATCGAGTCCTTGAAGGTAGAACTTGTTGGCCATGGTCTGAATCGTGGAGTTGGGAGAAGGAATGTTGTAGTTGGAACCATGCAGGTTTGCTTCTCGTGCGTCTCTTCTTCCTAAATATACTTCCCAACTTGGTCCACCAGTCTGTATATTAATTGAAATTATTAACGAGTGTTTGTAACAATTATTTATCCTAGTGATTGTGTTACGTACGAGTATATTGACTTACAATAACAGTGGAGTCTCTAGCAACGATAGCCAAAATATCGGCGCAAGAAACTGTTTGAGGACATTCATTTTCCAAGGCAGACTTGATATCGTCAATGACTTCAAACCCTCGAGCAGAGTTTTGGTTTGGCTCTGATCGTTTCTCGCTTTCCATGGTTTCACTATTGTCCAATAATACTGAACCATCACATCCCTGCACCACCCAAAAAGCAAGCAAATGTCCATATATATTTTTATATATCGAACATTAAATTTTGAGAAGAGACTAGATTTGGTCGAACATTGACGAAACAGTCATGGAAATGTAGTCTAAGCAATGAGGCAGCCATGCGAGGGTCATCAGAGTATGCTTTAGCGACGAAAGATTGAACGATCGCTTGTGCTTTGGGGCAGGAGTTGTCGTAAAATTGAGGGGAAAGAGAGGCAGTAGTGCTCGTGCTTTCATTGGTTTGATTACACATACAAAGAGGAAACAAAGCAACGAGGGAGATTTTAGCAAGAACAATGCACACATTTGTCTTTGCCATTTGATGATCTCTTACTCACCTGGAAGTTGTCTTGGGACTCTGGTGATTATATATTGTGGGAGGGATGATACGTTTCATTTAATACATAGATGAAGACTTTTTTTTTGTTTTTTAAAGACTTGATTTGTATGATTTGTTACCTAAACTTAATTAGCTTTTCAGATAGTTGGATGGATATATACATTAAATGTGAGTGCTGGTTTGAATATTAGATTTGTTACTACTATAGTGAATCCATTTTGTAGTTACCATATATG